TTAAATACACTTTTAATACAAAAATATAGCTTAAAACCCTAAATAAACGACAATTTTCGACCCATTCGCCCAAGAAAAAACATTCAAGTCACTGCCGAAATGGTCTCGCGAGAATGTCTCGCAACACAAACGCGCGTGTCTGGAGATAGAACACGCGCGGCTGGAGGTAAAATTTGGCTTCATCCGATCATAAGCCAAACCTATTGGAGGTAGCGTTCCAGGTATTTTTAGTTCACTGGGCCATCCAAACACGGAAACCATAAAGTAATTGTATAATATCACTGCATGTATCATTTCGTAAATGGATAATATCCATATATAACAAGATAAAGAACTCTAAACCCAATATCTCAAATCACGGAAAGGAGACTCATAGCCAAAGCTGAGTAGTATACATTCGGAAAGGATGTATATATATATTGTTTGTTTCTGCATAAACAGTTCTGAAGTTAACTGTCATCCTCTCCGTAACGCTTATTGAGACCCACTTAATTACCTATAGGACGTGATTTGATTACATATTACAGTACCTCTGTACATTTGGACTATATTTAGCAGCGTTGTAATGAGTCAAATCATTGACTTTTCGGGAGTCCAATACGAAAAAACCCCGCTCGACTCGAGTCAACAGTCCCACTAAATAGCTCGACGCGGACTCGACTAATTGATGTCTGTCGTAAATGACTTGAGTCAACTTATAATATTCTCGTCAACCTGAAATTTACCACATGCAGTTTTGGGATCCGACGTTTGGAGGTTTTTATCAGTAGTTTGTCAGCGTTAGATTTAGATGAATTATTCATTTTGAGATGGCCATTATTTTTAATGTTTTACTTTACTATTTCAATTTTTAGATTCTATCACTACTTGGATTCAATAGGACTTCATATTTCCTTGTCTGCACTTCCGTCCCTAACAGAGTAGAGTTATTTTAATTAACTTTAAAATATTTCAATTGATAGTTAGAATATTAATTACAGCGTATTTAACCGCGTGACCGATTTTATTTCATTTCCATGACAAGTTGCTGAATTCTCATTGGTTAAAAGAATTTCGTTTTGCTTGATATATGGCACAATAAAATTTGAAAACACCTTTTTTAATCCAGTTTTTGGTGTTTCAAGCAATATGTAAGCACGGGAAGCAATGTATGATGGTTGGTTGAAACACCGAAAATGTACTCACGAGGCTATAGATACTAGATGTATTTTCAGCTATTTCAATTAAGGTTGTCCCCGAGAAAAGTGGAAAAGTCGAATACGAGCGCGAAATGCTTGCTGGGAATCATTTTTTTCCCAGCAAGCCTTTCGCGCTCTTATTCGATTTTTCCGCTTTGCTCAGGGATAACCTTGACCGAAATAGCTGTATACTGGCTTATACCTTTACCCGTTTGTAATTATATACCTAGGTTAATATATGTATAGCTAGGTGGTATCACTAGATTTTAGTAGTTGTATTAAAACAATAAAATTTCTTATATAACTAAGTATTATGACAATGCCATATAAAGCAAGGATGTATTTCGGAAAACTGATTTCTAGTGATTTGGCCTTATCGGCAGGCAATCGGAATCGTTAGAATTATCTGTATTTCTGATTGGATAAAACCGATTGTTGAGAAAGTACGCATGACTTTAAAATTATATCCATTGCGCATTGATACACGTTGCGTTTTGACGCAATATGTTGCTGTGATTCGGCGTGCCATTTGTAAACGGTTTTAACGATCTTTGTTTGCGGAAACATGTGTTAAGTTGGAAATTATCGTGAAATGAATGACGTTATATAATCTGCATGTATCGTGTAGATTTATCGTTAATTTCCGATGTGGCACAATCGGTCAATCATGATCATGCACAAAACTGATTTCATCTTCAGCATACAGAACGCCTCTATTTTTCTAAATGACCTGTATGTTCTTCGACGGCATAAAAGTTTAATTCTACTTGAATATAAGATGTAACTGAAAGAAAAAATGGGGATGATATGTAAAAAACGCTTGTCTCAACGATCTGAATGGTCGTCTCGACGACGCAAGGTTTCTATAATGGGAGATTCCATGCTCCGGCGCATGCAATCCAACAAAATTAGATGGCAAACAAGGCATTCTGTTTACATCAGATCTTTTCCTTGAGCAACCAGTCGGAAAGGATCGATTATGCAACCAGTGCGGAAATGATCGATCTATGGCCTTCACCTCAACGTGCAGAGTATGTCTTTATTTACCAGTACTAGTCTCGTGGACACACTTTCTTCCTCATTTAGTGCAAGTTCTTCTATTGAACATAGTGAGTCCAACCCTTCAAATGTTATTCCCAGTAAAGGCATAATTTTTTCTGTACTTAATCACTCAAGCCATAATAGGCCGTGGGCTGTTGTGCGAAAAAGTGCCTAGAAAAGCAATTTCGTGGCACCCCCCTGGGGAATAGATTTTCTGTGGTTCAATTCATAGAACCATAGATGCTTAATTACCACAAAAAGTTCCCAAGCAAAAAACTTGCCCAACACCGAGAAAGTGGGTGATCAGTGATTATCCTCTATTAAATTGTATTACAGCAAGAAAATGTAAAATTTTGTATTCAATTACAACAAAAATGACTTGCATTATCAGAAAGCTTACAAAAATCTACATGTAAGATATAATCTACAAATCTACATACAGAATTTCCCATTTTTTTTCAGTAATACAATTTAATAGAGGATAATCATTGATCACCCATTTTCTCGGGATTGGGCAACTTTTTTGCTTGGGAACTTTTTTGGTAGTGATGTACCTATATGCCTTTCAAATAAACCCCAAACCAAGTATTTCCCACATGGGTGCCACGAAGCGAAATAATTTTGGCCAACCAACAGCCCACGGCCTACAACAAACAAACTTGATGAAATTAAAATCCTGATTAACAATTCCCTTGACGACAGGAACAAAAATAATATAGTATTCTGCTTTTCTGAAACCTATCGGACATCTGTATGGTCAGATTCCTCACTATTTACAGTAATATAGAAGATTTTATATGTATTAGAAATGATAGGATACATAAATTCTCGAGGTGATGGCCTTATGGTCTTTTTCCCACATCAACTACAATATAAGGTTAGAGATGATATTCAAATTACTACCTTTGGTTTTCATGAAATCGAGTATATCTGGTTGGAATTCCAATTTCCTAGGTCTCATTCTTTATCCTTGTTGGCAACACCGGCTAGTCAATGGCGTGATAAATTTGAACAGTTACTAAGGCTGGTGATGATTCTGTAGAAATTGTGATTCTGGGTGATTTTAACTGCAATAGACTTGACAAAAGACCACTCCATCATATTGTATCGCAATTGCAGCTCAAACAACTTATCACTTGTGTTACTCGCCCATCTTCAGGTACTATTATCAATCATATTTACACAGTGTTGTACTGAATCCGTTCTTAAATCAGGCGTTATGGAACTTGGAATCAGTGACTACTTGCCATTTTTCATAACTTGCAAAATTAATCCTCGTTCACTTACCAGAAGAAGCCGCAAAATTATTGAATTTCGAAGTACTCGACGTTTTGCGATGAGGGCAAGTTTTGTAACGATCTAAATCATTACTCCCGCCCCAGTGTGACCATATATGCAAATTTTTTTACTAAAGCTGCTTAAAATTGGTTGGCTGCCCCCTCCTGTTCTTAATGTTGCAGTTGTTTAAAGCAGGTGGGGTTGTCTAAGGGCATCCAACCGGATCTGGTAATAAAATGTACTAAACCTGGTCACACTGTCCCGCCCTCCCCCACTTTATTGATCACTCACGATGATCCCAACGACGTACTTGATGCTTTCTATGATCATTTTCTCGGTATTTTAAATCCGTGAATATGAAAATTTGTAGCAAAGCCAAAGGGAAATCATACATTTTTCGTAATTTATAGTTTCATTGCATAAAAGGTACGAAATCTAAATTTTATCGCAGTATCCGCCGATAAATCGGTTTTTGTATTTTCACTGTACGATTACCATTGTTTTCACTATTGGATCATTGTGTTTACCCCAATTGACAAAAAACGCGACCCCCAAAGAGCATATTCTCGTCCAAAGAACCGTGAAGTTGCCCAACCGCCCAAGTATATCAATTACAACTGGTTCTATTAGAAAAACGTACTCGATTTCTTCGCCATTGGCAAAAAAGGTGGTCTTCAAAGGACAAAGAGTTTGTAGATATCATGCGAATGCCATTCATCACAATTTTTGTCAAACAACCATGCGTCGATGTACATGCCCTGGCTAACAAGTTTCGCATTAGCCTTTCGTCGCAGAACTTCGGACGACTCCGGGTAGAAAGCATGCGTCCTTGAATACGGGTTCTGGCATTCTAAGGTGTTCTTTTGGGAATTATTCTTCGTCCCTGGAACAAACCGATCCGTGCTTGAAGAGCGTACTGGTTAATTGTGTTTGTTTTCCCTTTCGATTATTATATTTACACAACTTTTAACATTTCCCTAGTTTGTACTGACTTTAAAATTTTAAGACAGAGAACGTCCGAGATCAGTAGGTTCAGAAGCATTGGAAGTTGACGGTATTTGGCCTCGTGAAATTGAAAAACATCGTCTCAATTCATCTTCAGGATTCGCAATAGTGAACTTAATTAAGCACGGAACTGGATTTCATCGTTTCACGACGACGGAGTGACAGGTCATAATTTGTATGCCCCAAGAGAGGTTACAGGAAAGCAAGGGCATCCACTTGAAGTGTGAGAACTTCGTTCATAGTGTTGTTTTCGCCGCCCTCATGCTGCCAAATGCCGCCAGTTTGGCGGGCATTCGTAAGCAACTGAGCAAACTGTGTGACAGCTGTGTCAACCGCCACCAAAATGTTTTGGATAGCGACAAGTTTAAGGTCTTGTCGTTGGCCCATGTTTGATATTCGAGACCAAATTTCGGGATTAACTTTGGGGGCAAACAATCGTTCAGAGTTCTCTGGCCGGTCATATTTCGCTATTTACTCTTTGAATTTGTCGTCCGATAATTTTGACAACCATCTCTATTTGACGATATCAGCCAGCTGAATCAAGATCGGACTACTGGTTTTATCGTCAGCCGAATACTCGAGGGCTAACGTGAGGAATGCATCTTCCTCGTCGCCATCTTTAGTTTGGCCTGACTCGGTCTCTTCCTCTGAACTTGATGGTCGTCGATCGGGGCATCAACATCACTCCCTTCTTGATCGCAGGGCACTCGACCTCCTTTTTTTGCTGCTCAAAGTCAAAGACCAGGGCCTTTTCTTAGCAAATTTCAATACTGCACACTTCAGAGCAGGTATCATCAATGACGTCACCCTGTGACATCATCTTTGAATTGCTATGTTTTTTACATAGAACATAATGACAACATACATGGTGTCCCAAAAAAGTAACCCTTTCAAACCAGCCATAATCTATTGTAGTAATTCGCTGATGCGACATTGAATATTGGAATTATTACTGGAACTTGGCATATATTTGGCCATCTTTGTTTTGTGCCTTTGCTTATTTTGTTGCAAAGCCAAAGGCATTTTGGAATTCTTGACTTTATATTTCATCTACTTCGCTCCTTCAGCATATCTAATACAAAGTTGAAATTATTTATTTCAAACTTCAAATTTCAATACTGCACACTTTTGCATTCAATACTGCACACTTGTTATTCAATACTGCACAAAGTGTGCAATACTGCACACTAAAATAGGCCCTGTCAAAGACTCTGCTGACTCCACCGCCCGAGAATTTCATTTGGCAGTAGTGGTTGAAGTTTGTTCTCGTCTTTTCCCACCATTTGTTTGTTAAATTTTTTGTACGTGTGTTCTTCGCAACGTTTCGCTTGCAAGTGATCTATCTTACTTCGCGCGCATATCTCGTGCGACTCCTTAGCGAAAATAACCAATCATGAAGTAGAATCCTTTGTCCACATAAAATAGTTTCCTCCTTCAATGGACATTTGATCACTAACAATGTCAATGATCTCCAAACCTGCCTTAATTAAGTAAAGACAATATTTTCAAAGGTTGACATTTAACAATTATTGAATGAGGTTGAGCACAATATGAAGAATTATCAAGCCCGAAGTTTGCCGTTATCAACCGAAGCCGAAGGCTGAGGTTGATAACGGCAAACTGAGAAGTAGAGATAAAAAGTAGAAAAGTAGGATAAAAGTAGGACTAGAATTTTCGTAAAAGTAGGAATAAAGTAGGAAAATGTGTAGAAAAGTAGGACAAAGTAGGAGTTTTTGGAGTTGCAAATAACACAAAAACATACAAAATTGCCCCCCCCCCCAGGAGATATGTGGTAAAGGGGTGGACCATTAGTTGTTGTGTGAATTTTTGGTGCTCAATATTTTTTTACACTCATTCATCTATGCAGGATTTTTTTTCTCAAAACTTTTAAAATTAGATATTAATATAGACAATGAATGTTGCATCGGTATAAATGCTAAGGCATTTGCTCTGCAGCAACACAATTCAAATGCGTTATGAATGCGAGTGCATGTATTTGGGTACGCCATACACCAATCCAGACTGTGCGGCACGAGAATATGATGCTTGATTAACTGGGGGGGGGGTGTGAATATTTGGAATCTCTAGATCATCGGAAATGGGATTTTCAGAATCTTCATTAATTTATTGATTATGATCCTAAAGATTACTCGGAAAATGTAGCTACTTCTTCTCTTCTTGAGATCTTATCATCTGGGACACAAATAGGGAATAAAAATTACGAGTACTATAGGTAAACAAAGAGTTAAGACATTAACATACTGATTCCCCAAGCTGTCTTAAAAAAGTAGGATTTTGTGAGAAAAAGTTGGAAAATCAAGCAATTTTTAATAAAAAAATAGGAAAAGTAGGAAAGTTGAAGAAAAGTGGGAAAAAGTAAGATGGCAAGAAAGCCTGCTATACCCCGGGGGTGGGGGGCTTATATTCCGAGGGTTTACGGCGCTCCAATACTCCGTCTTTCTGTTGCGAATTTCCAGCAATAACTTGTTAATACTTCAGATCAGAACTTCAGCTCAGCGAAACAATTGAACAACTTAATTGACAGTAAATACTTCATTTCGACCATGTGGAATCATTAATAACACTCTTCAACTCTCGGGAATCAACTTGCCAAAACTGATCTAAGTACAATTACATTTGGCGGCGTATTCCGGCGACCTATCAAAAAAAATATCGCCGATTGTTCGTTTGGTAGCCAGTGAGCGACTCCGCCTATACTCCGCTATGACATAGATTCTGCGAGTCAGCATCACAAAATTTTGTTTTGCGTGGTGGATTTTCAGTTTTATTGAAAAAGTTTGGCTCAATTTCCATATTAATAAACTAGATTTAAATACAATTCTGACCCCAATTTTTTCCTACTCGCACATATTTGCTAATAATGTGTAATCGTGTGTTTGTATTTATCCAGGCGAGAATCTGGTACATCCTCATTTTGCAGTTGAAATATACAGTGGCTCAATATCATACCAACGTCTTTCCTGATCCTTTTAAAAACCCATTTATAAAACTGATGTGATTTGAGACTGCCCGTTCATTTCTCGTCGCAATAAAGTAAATTTCAGGCAGAAACAGTTGAAGAACATTTATTGTTTTACATAGAAATTCTATACACCATCAAGACAAGTAAATCTCACCTATAAAAACTAGCAAAATACTTCTGTTTACAAGCTATTAAATTTATAATGGAACAATCCTAGATTAGCCTATATCTTCATATTTCTTTAAATACATAAAAGTAATAGGTAATTATGATGTCTTTAAGTTATCGGAAAGTGATAAGATACTCAGTGTAATATTCATAGTCTTGAAACAGAACATAAATATTTGGGTGTGAAATGTTGTCTACCACAGAGTCATAAGTTACGTCCGGATCAGCAGTATCCTTACTGGGTCTCGCTATCATACTAGAGTTCCCCCGTGTGTAATCTCCGACCAAAACTTTGGCGTAATACATGTAGCGAAGCCCCTGCCAGTCCGGGGGTGAGTAGGTCAGATTGCAGGAATAACTAGCATCTCTGGCAAAGTAAACACCTTTGCCATAAGACGTGGCTGAAGAAAGAGAAAATTGAGCATCACTCTGTATTGTATAGCCTATATAGGTGTAATATGATGGATTCGAGTGCAATTTGGGAAAAACATGCACGAGTGAGTTTTTCAAATACGATAAAGTCTTTGAAAATACGATAAAGTCTTTGAAAAACTCACGAGTTGTCTAAATAAATTGCACGAGAAACCATACTATTATTTATTAATGATATACCGTACATGAAAAAATTATGCAGTCACATGCGCGCGTATATATTATAGGTCACATGCGAAATAGTTAATTTTAATATAAATAAATTTAATAGAAAATCTACTAAAAACGCCAGCCATTTTTGTCATATGTAAATGTTTGGGTTTTTTGTATTATTTTCTGCCAGAAATGACTGTATCTTATAGCCAAGGGACCGCGCAACAGCGGGGGGGCAGGGCGGCGCTTTTCGGTGGATAATAAAAATCTACCGGATAAAATACAGCCTGCCTGCGTGGAATAGCTCCCGTGCTATCCTGCCCCCCCCCCCCGCACTTTTGAACAGGCTCCGCGGTCCCTGTAGTCAATGAAATTTGCACTGTATTTCAATTTTTGGCACTGTATTTCAATTTTTGGCACTGTATTTCAATTTTTGGCACTGTATTTCAATTTTTGGCACTGTATTTCAATTTTTGGCACTGTATTTCGAAAAAATTTCACTACTCTTAGCCAATCAGAAGTGGGAAATGTTTTCATGTATATTACTAATAGAAAAATACCCTATCTCGTGTATTTTCTTTGTATCTATTGTTGTAACTTGCATTGAGTAATGAAAAATACACAAATTCATGACCATCATAACGGTCGGAGTCTGCCGTATCTTGAGCAAAAATCTCATTTAGGTTCATTTTTCACACCAAATGTTATTATAAGTTTTTAAAGTAAACTATTGACAACATGAGGGTTTGTATATCCGATACAACACGGACGCGAATGTTCTCAATGGCTTGTGAAACCACAAGAGGCCCAGGCTCGATTTGCCCGCGCCCGCCTGTGCCTTCCTTATAACGAGGGAAGGACGGAAACATTGAGACCAAAATAGCCCAGACTTGGCATATGTCACACAAAACTATCCTCGATTTTTCGCCTTTAATGCATTTTTTTTTCACGATTAATCGATATCCTCTGCAAGAATTAATGATGACCGTATAACTCTCAAAACAACGACGCTTTAATCAAAGAGCTTAAATTCGCTCTAAAATCCGCGAGGGAATGACAAAATTCGGCCAAAATATACCGCGTGCCGGGTTTGCTGTGCAAAAAGCGGAAGTCGTCGAACAACTCAAAATACACTCAACCCTGATTGGAGAACGAATATCAACAAACATTTCAAATTTTTTAACAAACACAACGTGAAATACAATTTATTATACATATTAACTTACTACAGTTATATTTACCTGCAGTAATATTTACACTTTATACCGTTTGTGAATTGTTTTGATTCAAATTATTACAGTGCTGGAGAAAAATTTGAAATGTTTGTTGATATTCGTTGTCCAATCAGGGTTGAGTGTATTTTAAGTTGTTCATCGACTTCCGCTTTTTGCACAGCAAGCCCGGCACGCGGATATATTTTGGCCGAATTTTGTCATTCCCTCGCGGATTTTAGAGCGAATTTAAGCTCTTTGATTAAAGCGTCGTTGTTTTGAGAGTTATACGGTACCATTCTTGTAGGGGATATCGATTAATCGTGAAAAAAATGCATTAAAGGGGAAAAATGGAGGATAGTTTTGTGTGACATACCGGTATGCCAAGTCTGGGCTATTTTGGTCTCAATGTTTCCGTCTTTCCCCAGGTCCTTCCCTCGTTATAAGGAAGGCACAGGCGGGCGCGGGCAAATCGAGGCTGGGCCTCCTGTGGTGAAACGTCTTGATGAGAACATTCGTATGTTGTGTTATTGTTCACTCCGTAATATGGTAAGTTGAAAGTTGGGTATGGAAATTATGAAATACACACTCTAGAACATTTTCATTGCTCTTGCGGTGCAATAATGGTCAAGAATACTTTAAATACTTACCATGTGTCCCTGCGTAACTTCTATTCAATCCATTAGCATTAATTTTGTCTATACTTTGAAGCGAGGTGCCATGAAACAGCCACAGTTCTTTGCCTGCAAAGTTGCTGCCGAATTTGTTCATCATTGCTCTGCGTTTCACATTATACAACTCATCAATTTCTTTGTTTTGTACTTTTTCGATGCGGACAATTCGTAACACATGATTCGAAACAGATTTGTGGAATGCGGTTTCAATATCCTGGTATTCTTTACTGCTAGTGGACAGTTCGAACTTGTGAAATTTTCTTTCAATCGGCGGTTTCAAGCGAGTGACAACCCAGGAGGCAAAATAAGCTTCGGTTGCATCTTTGAATTTAATAAACTTTGCTTTTTCGCAAATCACAATACGGACCAAACTCAAAGTGGGATTTTTGCGCTCAGCAATCCTGGACAAATTATCAAAGATCAAGTCGGCCGATTGACTTTCGGTGTAACCCATTGCGTCCACCCCTATGGCGGAAAATGAAACCCTGGCGATGTTTTTCTTTAAAACGTCATCGAAAAATGTAGCTACACAATTTTTCAGGTCGGCAACTTCAATCGACGCCGGTGCAATGACGTGAGCGATTTGATGAACAGCCAATCTCCCCGCTTTTGTGTATTGTGTCGAATAGAAGGCCGGCTGCCCGAGTGCCCTGAATTCTTGAATGATGCTACCACCCCCCGCTGTTATAAGAGCTTTACCAACCTCACCCAGAAAAGAGAAATCTCTGATCACGTGCATGATTAGATCGGTACTTTCATTGATGATGTCAGCCCAAACGATCTGAACTGCGAGGTTTGTTGTCCCAAGAGAGAGTTCTAGCGATCCGTCAAGTTTTTCAGTGAAGGAAACGTTGTTTGGACTGCCTGCGTTGGCCAATGGTACTGGAACGCGCTTGCTCATAGACGATAAAATAACGGATTTGATTTGCTGAACTGCAACTATTAAGAACAATAAAAATAAAAATTAAAGTAATTCATTTACCTTGCAGTCAGCTGAGAGCCGAATACACGCTTCCGGCAAATACGTCATCTTGGTCATAGAGCCTCGTTTTCGTGATTGACACGTTAAGCTTTAACTAACATCACATACACGAGAATGAGGTAGCGTGTACTGCGATGGACACAGCTCAAACAAGACTGAGTCAAAGGCTTGCAAGCTTCTATTCTCGGAAAACGGCAAAGGTTAAAGTTTAGTTTATTGAAGGCAACACGTTTACTATCTCCGAATGTTACCCTCTTGAAAAAAACAACAAAAACTCTAGCGTAACAAACCTAGAAATGCGTCTACCGTTGCTTGGTCAAACGCCACGAAGTGAACTTCATCGATTTGAGGGTGGGCAGTGAGGTGACCCGTAACTTCTTCAAAAAAGATTTTCGCAACTTCCAGACGTGGGAAATGCAATGCTCCTGTGCCAATAGCAGGGATGGCGATAGACCTTAATTTGTCTTTATCCATCTGGTATAGACATTTTTTGATGAGCATACGAAGAATCTAAAAGAAAATTGGATTTGAGTTACTTTAATTTAATCCCTATTCAATAATATGTATTATTATATGGCTTTTCAAAATTCTCTACTCTGATTGGTTGACAAGCGGTCCGTAAAAACCCATATCCGGACCGTGGTCCGTATTTTCCGTATCTGGACCGGTGTCCCGGATGTCGTTTATCTGGCGGGAAATTTTTGCTTTGCAAACAGAAAAATTTTTTGCTTTTTAATTTTCCAAAATTTACAGACAAAAATTTCAAACAACCAAATTATTTTTGATTGAGCATACATGCCTACCGTATATTGTTACCCAGTGAAACTGACGATAGGCGATTTTTGAATTCGCGCGAAAAGCATATGCTCACAAACTCACTTCAGCCATATAATAAACCGATTATTGACCTCGCTTGTTCGGTCTGTACTGTGAAATATCAGACCTCTGTTTTTTGCATGGACCTCGCTCCTTCGTCGCTCGGTCCATACTAAAAAACCTCGGTCTAATATTTCACAGTACAGACCTCACGCTCGGTCAATAAGCCGTTATTGTTCTTCTACCCTTTATGATCTATAACATGCATGACTTGTGTACTCTGACACAAATAATACGCTTATCCCTGAACGAGGCTTAGACAAGAGTACCTGAGCTCCTCTCCCGTTGTCCCATGATGATAAACGAACATGATACACGCGTTTACAATTCAGCTTTGCCGGTCCAGTTGAAGTGATGTCTCCCGCCAGAAGACTTCCAATTTTGTGACATTCATTCAACAGCTCCTCACCAGCCATCTTAAGTAAAGCCTTCCCACAACGGCTGGCGTTCAAGTCCACTTTGGCATTCATTGCATTTACAATGACGTCGACCTGAAAGAAGTAAATGTGAGTGTGCTAATCATCCTTACTTGCAGCTGAGAGCTAAGCTGAATAGACCTTTCCCCATTTGAGTGAAATTTTGATCTAGACAAGTCTGGACAAAAATTTCATCACAGCTTGAAAGAGCATCACAAAATTAGTAATATTCCGAAGTTTCGTTGCGAAATGTTGTAAAATGCGAATATAGCATTGCGAAGTTTGCCGTTTTTCAGTCATTTTGTATTACAAATGGAAATTGATTATCAGTTTGATCATCTGATTATCAATTTCCCATTTGTAATGCAAAATGACTGAAAAACGGCAAACTTCGCAGGGCTATATTATCAGCATTTTACAACATTTCGCAACGAAACTTCGGAATATTACTAATTTTGTGATGCTCTTTCAAGCTGTGATGAAATTTTTGTCCAGGTATATCTAGATCAAAATTTCACTCTTAAGGGGAAAGGTCTATTGCGAAGAACGCAGCTCAACCTGATCGAGTCGAAGGCTTTCTAAGGGACGGGCCATTGTTTATGATGGGGGTGGCACCAAAGAGAAAAGGGTTGGGTAAACAAAATTTTGAGTGAGTAAAAGGTTGGGTAAATGAAAAACGAACAACTCAAGGGTTGGGTAATAAAAATCTATTGTCATTTCCAAAGCATGACTCACTCAAATATTTAAGACTAAAAAGCAATGTCAACATTCATATTTCAATACAATATGTAAATCAATCAATCAATCAATCAATCAGAGTCACTATCTTGATCATTTTCCGATTTGTTAGGGGGCAAATGGTGTCTCCAAAGAAAGTACATGTGCGGACAACATGAAACATTACACTGCAGAAAATTGCACAAGCAGTTATCAAACTCAAGTCATAGAAGTGATAATTAGGATATGTGTGACAACTGAACGGTAGAGTACCCGAAGAAAATCCACGGATTTCGGTAGAATGTTGACTGACTCGTTTCACATAAGTGTCATCAGGGACGCCGGAACTGGGGTAGGGGGCAGGAGGGGCAGCTGCCCCTCTTGCCCTTTACCAAGAGGGCAAGGGGGACGAAGGTGGCCTTTTGATTAAAGGAAAATATTTGTTATTAATAGAAAGAATGCCCTCTCGTCGTTCCGGCGTCCCTGAGTGTCATCACCGATCTAATCAGTGAGAGATGAAAGACGCCTTGCTCTGTACATGGGGTGTTATTCGGTAGGATCAAACTGCAAGCACTTTTATCTTACATGTGACTGAGGTGAAATTATAGAATTATAATCAGACAACTGTATATTCCAGTATTCAAACCTCAGCCGCGAAAGTATGAGCTCAACCGCTGTACCACCAAATATACCTTTTCTTGTGCCACATCTCCAACAATTATCGTTATTCTATTTCCCAATGCCATTTTAACTTCTTTATCATTGACCACGGTCATGGAATGATAAGGTAGGTTCACGACGTTCGTCGTTGGTGTACCACTGGCGATTATCCCTCCATCTGCTACGACTGCGACATGTTTAGTCTTCTCGTGAGTTTAAAGAGAAAGTTTAAATCGTTAGAATAACATTGCTGCATATATTCCACCACTGACAGGTTGTATAGCTGGGTTTCACTATCGTGCAGCAGATGGTGTTCAACCTGCAGTTACCAGAGTGAGAACATAATGTTCCATTCTATGTAGTAGTCTTGTATTTGGCGGCAAATAAATCGAATACACCCTTCCGGAAAGTACGTCACTTTGGCTATAGAGCCTCACTTTCATGAATGTGACATTAATCAAAGCCCAAAATCTCAATCACGAAAACGAAGCTCGATAGACAAGGTGACGTACTTCCCCGACAGGTATATTGAAAGATATACTTATTGAGAGATCTGCGAACAACATAGTGGGGCAGATTGGTAAAAATTATAGAACAATTGTGCGTTTTTTTCAAAATCCATGACCTGGAAGTCTGGAATTTCTGAAATTCGTTAATATTTTAACGATAACAGATATAATAAAAGAAGAAAATTCACTTCGCTCTCGCAAAAATCTGTTATATTACAACAATTCACATTATTGTTATGACTGGTAAATCGAAATAAGTAAAATACTTTGTTATTAATGTTATGTAAAATTTTCCATGACTTTCCATGACTAAAATTGATTTTCCAGGATTTCCAGGCCTGGATTTTGGAATATTGAAATTCCACGACTTTCCAGGTTTTCCAGGACTCGTACGAAGCCAGGCATTCAAATGAATTGGCTTCCTAATGGCTCGAGCACCGAAGGCGCGAGCTCCGTAGGGGTCCAGGGGTATGTTCCCGGAAAATTTTGAAAATTAGAACCCTAGAAATGCCATTTGCTGCGATGTGGGCATTGAATGGTAATACCAGCTTCAGTTTGACTTCAAAAATGGAAAAACCTAGGAAATTATGCCATATTTCTGAATTCGATTGTTTTGCACCCCTGTTGACCAAGGCCAACAGGGTTGCGCACCCCTGTGCACACCCCCCCCCCCCCATAATTCCACCCCTGGTTTGATGATAAAAGCACACAACTTCGCATAATGTTAGGGTCATTTTTCGCAGCTCTTCCTGGTTAAGTCTAATAAGTGTATATAAATTTCCAATAGATAATTTCGATCTCCAATACCCTTCAACTGTTATTTAATCGAGTGAGACACCAACAAAATCTTGATATTTACCCATAACTTAACATGGCAGTACCCTAGTTTATACACAATTTACACATGAACTTGTGGTTAGAGCTCGACAACTGACCTCTGTATAGCTCAGTTGGTTAGAATCAGTTGGTTAAAGAGGTTAATCCTGAAACTTTCCCCAGCCCCATCTCTTTTAGAAACTTTCTCAAACTCAAATACTCTCACCTTGTTCACACAGTCTATGATATTGAATTACCCTGTACCTGGTCCTTGGTTCGGGACTGTCCCTGCCATAGGACTTAAGTTTGTGTGCGTGTGTTGTGTATGTGTGTGTGTATGTGTGTGTGTATGTGTGTGTGTGTGTGTGTGTGTGTGTGTGTGTGTGTGTTTATCTCTCCGTGTGTGTGTGTGTGTTTGTCGACACGTCTCTCATTCTTTCTCTGTTTGTACACCTCTTTCATTTCTTTCTTCTCTCTCGTACACTCCTTCATAGTAATTTTGGTAATATATATATATATATATATATATATTTATTTTTTCTTTTAATAATTTGTGACTTCGCTGGCAGGTGCCTTGCATGGGTCCAATTTCTAGAGTCCCGTTCGTACCTTGCCATTTTGGATCACTCGCTAATATATAGTATAGCTATCCAATTATTTGTATATAGTCTTTTTCTTTTTTTTTCTAGTTAGTGAAATTATATTGTAATAATTTGATCCAAATAAATTTGTTAAAAAAAAAAAAAAAATCGCAGGGCCGCAGGTTCGATTCCTAACAGGTACCTAAACTTGCACTTTTCGCAGCTACTCCCGATTAGGTCCAATAAATGTATATCAATTTCCACTCAGGGTACCCTAACATGCCAAGTTGTGTGCTTTTATTATCAAATACACAAATTTCCACTAACAAGCGTACCTTAAAGTCAACATTTCCAGGTAATTTTGAGGGGAAATTAGTCTTTTTGTTTCCTGTCGCTATTTTCCCATCGACTCTAATGCGTTTCTTTGAGGTTTCCGCACGTGCGACGTTAATAGGCCGTTTTTTCTTTAAAATAAATGTAAAGTTATTTGTAGGTTGCATGTTGTTAAAAAAAGACAAGGATGAAGCCAAAGGTGGCGGATATTGAAGAGCTATAGTATTGGATGTTCCAGTCCCTTTCTATTGTTTTTGTTGCGCGTGGTCGGACACTACCATTCGGAGTATGTTTTTTCTAATATTACTTCTATCTGCTTTTTCATTTTTTCCAACCATACCATATCAGGAAATTTCAAAAGGAAATGGCATTATAAAATAACATGTATATAACGCGTGCTCTGATTGGTCGAAAACCCGTCTTTGGTTCAGGCCATCCAAACACGGAAATTTAAAGTGCCTTCGCACGAATTTTACACTTTGTTGTTATTTTATAAAACAATTATTTTATGGTTTCCGTGTTTCGATGGTCTGATCCAAACACTTGGGTATGTTGCTCGAGTTAAGAAAAGCGCGCAAAATCACTCGCCTTCGGCTCGTCGCAACATTCCCGCGTGTTTGGATCAGGCCATCCAAATAGGGAAACCATAAAGTAATTGTATATTAAAGTTGAATGTCTGTGAAGAGTTACGGCCGCTAGAGCTGTGCAAACTCCGGTTATTTTAGCTCAGGCTCCGACAGTCAAAACTTCGGCTCCGCCAAGGAATTTTTAAGGAAATTTCAAATTTAAAAGTGGAAGCAGGCAAAAGTATTTCAGTGTAATTTCAGAATTTATCTTTTTAAACACCTTTTTACAACACTATTAATAGTAAACAACATAGTAATATATAGTAAAACAACTTATAAATAGTAATATATTATATTAGTAAACAACAACTTAATTTTTCCATTTAATACCAAATGTTCATTGAAATATGAAATAATTTTTCATAATTTTGTGTGCCGGAATTTTTGCCGGAGTTTTCCAACTGCGGCTCCGGCGCACAGCTCTATTACGGAGACTGCACAGAAATTATTATTAAATTACTCAAATATGATTGGCTAAAAAGGAGGGCATTTTTTCTTAATTCAGGGAAAAATTACTTGTGAAATATGATTGGCTGAGACGCAAGCGCGGAAAGTTTCTTGTTTTAAATAGCAATAAAAACAATGGCTTCACGCTTTGTCGTCGGGAATAATGATGTTATTGAAGAATTAAAAACTTCTAGTGAAAACTTGAACACCAGAAAAAGAACAAGTTTATTGGTTGGAGTATTTAAGAAATTGGCAAGCAGGGCAGCATCAAGAAACATCGGCGAAAAGGCGAAGACACGGAGACATACAGAGTTCAAGAACTTGACAAGTTCACAATTAACTTACGAATAAATTTTGCCCTCTATGATTAACAAGTAATCGCATAGCTCCTCGTAAAATTAAGGTTTAATTTCACTTGTGTTTTCAAAGATTCACAAATTCTCGGACAATTTGTGAAACTTTGAAAACACGCGTGAAATTAAACCTTAATTTTACTCGGCCCCATGCGATTACCTATACAAATTCAACGCAGTTGAACTGTACGACATGTTGCTTAGGTACATTTTGATACTGATGCAGTTCAATCTTTAAGTAAAAAGTAATCTGTCAAGTAATTAGTAAGCAACTACTTTTTATTAGCAATTCGTAATTAATTACTTTTGAATTGAAAGTAATTTGTACTAATTAACTTTTCAGAAAAGTAATTGTAATTCGTTACTCTTTTTTTGTAATTTTTACAACACCGTTAATTAGTATAGTATGATACTCACAGGCAAGCTAGTATCCAGGCTCGTTTGAGGACTCACAGGTAGTTTTCTACGTAGAACATCCTCAACTTCCAGCAGGGCTTGATAGGGAATTCTAGAATAATAGAGACTTTAAAAAGGTTTGATCTTTTGACTATAAACTTTTAACACGTAAAGAATGTTATAATGTGGCTCACCTTTCTTTGTCTCTAAGGACACTCAGCAATCTTTTTAATCCTACAATTTTGCAGTCTTTTTTTTTCGCAACGTCTAGTAGAAAGTGGAATGAAGAGAATTACTACGTACAGCTAGTTAACACTAACAGACAGAAATAAAATTTAGAATTGGATATGTCAAGCTGGATAACTTACCCACGTCGTTTTGCTTCTTAGCTATCAGTTTTTGTAAAGATTCTGTATATACTGACATTTGCGTGAGCTAAAAGGAAAGTAATCTATCAACACCATCACCACCATCATCATCATCATCATCATGTACCATAATCACCACCATCATCATCACCATCATGTACCATAATCACCATCATCACCATCATCATCACCATCAACATCATGCACGATAATCGCCATCACTACCCGCTCGGCAGGCAGTCAGCAAAAATGTTTCTTCGAATATACGTGAATATACGTAGAGGAAGGCACTCAGCAAAATTTCACTTGCACCCCCCCCCAACCTCGTACCCAGGGCTTTTTGCTTCCGCAGTTGGATAGTTAGCGAAAGCATAATGCCCTGATACGAGGTTACCTCCCTCCCATTAAAATAGGGCTAGTGGCGCCCATGCCATCGCCATCATAACCACAATTACTACCATTACCACCATCTATTATTTATTTTCCAAATATGGCAACCTCTAAATAGCAAGGGGGCAGGCCATATCACCATAATCAGCACCATCATCACCTACCTTTTCGACATACACTTGTTCCTCCTTATAAGATAGATCAGTTTTGCCAGGACTTTCTTGAGAACCAAGATTCATATTACTTGGAGGGTTAAATGATCCGGGTGATTCCACATGGGGTATATCAGAGATTCTGAAGGTGAGTAAAGATGATGGAGACTGGGCGCTATTCTAAATGTGTCATATAAATGCATCAGCTTGTGGAAGCATATGTACACAACAAATAACCTAATCATTAGCACATGTTAATGCCATTGATATGCTTAATACCACCCCATTCACTCATAGTTATAAATTGAATGCATGCAAATTGTAGTGATTCGCCGATAATCGGTATCGGGCTAATTTTAGTCATCGGAATCGGTAAAATTATCTGTATTTTCGATTGTGTAAAAGCGATTGTTGAGAAAATATGTACAGGGTGTCCAAAAAAAATTGCCCCCTATCATATTTTGTGGTACTACCTGACAATAATCGAATATTCAAATTTTTTCATTTTTTTTTATCAATGAACATATTACGTTAATCGTTGCATTTTTTCGCACCAAAATATTTAACCGTTCGCCATCCAGAGTTACTTACGGTGGCAACACCAATATTGCCACTTGTCCAAATTGAGGATATTAGGTTTAAATAAATTCATATTACGGAACGTCATAACATATTTTAATGGTAAATGGCTGCATATCTTTTCAAAAACTTGTAATTAGTTGTAGCCTAAATCGCAAATTAATTTTCTGTAAAAATAATGAAGCAATCCCCAGAAAAGGGGAAAACATTTGCTCTTTCATAGAACAAATTGAACGGAAATTAGCAAATTTAAGGCATTTTCCCAAAGTTAGCTTTGCCTTAATTTGTCAATTTCCCAGGGATTTTTCATCTTTTTTTATTAATTTCTACAAGAAACGAAAGTTTAATAATAGAGATAAAAACATTTTGTTTTTGAGCAAAAAGGTGGGTAGAAACTTTAGAAATCCTTCTGCAAAGTTTGCATTATTTTTAACCTAATTTCTGTAATTTGGACGGGTTGCAAAATTGGTGTCACCACCTTAAGTATCTCTAGGAGCCGAACGGTTAAGTATTTTGGTGAGATAAATACTACGATTAATATAATATGATTGTTTTTCAACCCACTGCAAAAAATTTGAACCTTTAATTAAATATAGCGAAGTAATACCATCAAATATGACAGGGGGCATTTTTTTTGGACACCCTGTACTTTGAAAATCACATACACTGCACGTTGATACACGTTGCATTTTAACACAATATGTTACTGTCGTTCCAATTGAAGTGTTGCTCAAATATTGATTCAATACATTACCTCGGGCTGACCAATTCATTTCATCAAGTTCCTCGAGATATTCATACACTTCCTAGTATTTTGTAAACTTCCTGTTGAATAGTTTGAATGCACCAATCACCTTTGTTGTTTGTGCAACTAACCAATCATAAATAGAAAGGAAGTGACCAGAAATGATCAAATACTTGGAATTGGCTCTTTCACAGGAAGTGTATGAATATCTCGAGGAACTTGATCAAATGAATTGGTCAGCCTGAGGTAATGTATTGAATCAATATTTGAGCAACACTTCAATTGGAACGACAGTAAATCAATGCGTGAAGCATGCAATTGATGAACAGTTTTAGTGAGAACTTTGGTTGCAGTAACATGTTATATTGGAAATGATCATTAAAAAATCGAAATGGATGATGTCACCTTTACAGGTCGACTGACATAATGTCATTATAAAATCAGTATCAGTACTATCGGGTAGATTGATGCATGAATAATCGGTAATTTCCAATTGTGATAGTATAGGTTATATCCCCTATAAGGTAGTATTTTACAACTCAAAGGGCATTTCTGCCCCCCTTGCCCCCCCCCTAGCAAAAGGCAAGAGGGGCAGCTGCCCCTCCTGCCCCCCCCATTTTCGGCATCCATTGCTTCTTTAAAGGGGAAGTCAAGTCCGTTCTGCGCATCGGTTCTGCGCATAACAATAGAGGGCCCTCTGAGGTAAACATTGCCCAAATTTTGAATGTTTCGAATTTTTCTGAACACAAACTCTATTTCATATTCATGTAGAAGCATAACGAACCAAAATGGTGTTAGATATTCAGACAGTACATCATATTTTAAAAAATACAGCAGTTCAAAATGTAAACAAACCGTTTGTTTACATTACGGACTTGACTTCCCCTTTAAACTAAATTGCATTAAACTGATTGGTTGATTTTATCATCACAATGTTTTTCCACCAATCAGATAAGTTTGTTACAGATTTTTGCACTGTGATTACAGAAAATTGCACTGTGATTACAAAAAATTGCACTGTGATTACAGAAAATTGCACTGTGATTACAGAAAATTGCACTGCTGTTTGGGATTAACTGCACTGAAATCAACCAATCACAGTCGAGTAATATCTTTATGTATATTATTATGTTAGTTACAATCATGAAAATAAACGTGTTGACAACGTATTCAACCAGCATGATTTTGGCGTCGAAGAGATGAAAATAGTCTTTTGTTGTTGTGGTTGTTCGAGTTGGGAAAATATCGATATCGGAAAAAAATGGCAAATATTGAGTAAATATCGTATCAAATGAAAAAAAACGGCAATCCCTAGGGATATCACATAAAAATAAATACACTATTGTAAAATACGAAATATTTATGTATCGATCAATTCGAAACTTCACCATCCCCCCCTCCCCGGGCATACCCCGGGAATTTGACTTCAAGTCTTCTCCAGGGGAGTAGGGAATTTGACATTCTAGGTCTTCCATGTGGTGGGGCATTTGATAACAGGGTGGGGCATTTGATAACAGGGTGGGGAATTTGAACCGGAAGTCTTAAAATGTTTCCCGTTTTCGCATGCTTCCTGCATGCACAAAAAATACTGTTTTCTCAGATTTCGAGGGAAACAGCCTCAATTTTGTGAAAAACTGGCTCAAAGAAACAGGCATGGAAAACCTATGTGCTTCATTTGAAGGTATGGACTACATAATTGTGTAAAACTGTTAAATTTCCACAAGGTATCCAAACATTTTACGTGAATTTCGCTATCTTGTCGAAAAACATTTCCCTATATTTTGTACTTTTTGTATTTTACTGTTCCATAATTTTCATATGAAGGTGGGGCATTTGAACGCTTAATTTATTGTTACAGTGGGGAATTTAAAGACATTTTTTGCACAGGGGGTGGAGAATTTGATCAGTCAAATTTCAAAAAGTTCAAA